TCAAATCCCTTATGGAACTTTCACCTGACTCAACTAACACTATAAACACTAATTTAACTCAACTAATATTTAGAAATTGTAAAATAATTGATAGGTCAGACCACTGGTCTCTGTTGTTATTCAAGGAGTCTCTTGCTATACGCAAACGAAAACCTGATCTCAACCACGGTGCGAAAGCTTCCAAAGAACTTCTCATATTTCATTAACTGGCATTTAAGCTCCGCCTTTCTGGCTTTATAATAGCTGCATCTGTAATTTTACACTATTATTTATCCTGAGGATGACTACAAACTAGTCGAAACGTCGATTAAAAATCAAAATGTCATTCGGAGTTACTGTTATTTTGTATTTTCTTTTTAGAGGTGTTTAAGTGCAGAACTAATCTCCTATTGACAGATATCTTCAGGCAAATTGTATTATTGCCAGCTAGTCTACAATTACAAATAGTACACCGTTATTGTGACTTTGTCTTTGGCACTTTTAAATATGTATGCGATGACATTGTAAGTCGTTAGTATTATTACCTATGTGCAATCCAATGGCAGTATAATTATAGCCAGTAAAGAAATTATTATTAAAGGCAAACGATTTTGATAGTTGAAATATTTCCACTTCAATGTACATTGCCCTTAGCATTGCCCTATTCATATAAAGAATATTGCGGATTTACAAGATGTATGAATTCCTTTCTGGCTTGCGAGTTGTGACCTGATGACTGACCGAGGTCTGCAAAACATCAACTAATAAACTGTATACATGCATGAAGTCATGAAGTCACACTTCTTTTTATATCTGAGTCTGAGAAGAGCGTGGGAAACCCATCTTCTCTTCGAATCTTGCCACGAGAAATAGTTGAGTATGCGAGTATATTAGTATAACTATTCGCTATACGATCGATCGAGCTATAAGTTTCAAGTACGAAAGACCAGCATTATACATGCGTGGATCGACATTCAATTTATTCAGGATTTAGTCCCGTTCAGTCACACTCAATATTAACAACACCAAGTATTTTGCCTAAGCATGCAAATTTAAAAGCGGCAGCCAGTAAGATTCAGCAATTTTGCTTATGCTTACGTCTCGCTAATGATATTAATGAGGCCATAAGTCCGCCTTCGTCCCCAGACGCAGGTCAACTAAAATGACGTGTTTATATATACGCCGTGTGTATGATATGTGTATGGTAAAACTATTGCGCAAATTGGTTATATGACACTCCATAAGTGCGGGATTTTCCCCGGCGAGATTTGATGAAAAATAACTGATTAATCTTATTATACATAGCTCGTGATGTGATGCAGTTTTTCGAGTTATTCGACTCACAAGTCACAATAGCACCATAGTTCTTAGTAAATACACAGCCGTGTGTGGCCTGAATTTAAGGAAAGATAAAATAAAGCTGTGTGTAAGCCGTGGTTTATGTATGGTTTATAGTGTAACAAAATATACATCTGCACAAAGAAAACATTTAACTTGCTACAGCATAACCTTTCTAGTTGGGATCTGGTGAGGTCGGTTTATATATGAACATCTCAATCATTTTAACTAGGATAAACCGTCCTTATAACTAGGATAAACCGTCCTTGCAACTAGGATAATAAAACCGTCCTTATATTATGACAAACCATCCTCATATAACAAGAAAAAACACGTCTTTGTACTGGGTGTAATTTTTTGTAGTTGAATACATGTTGTTTGTACGGCTGGCATGATACAAAGTATCAATAATAGATATATAACTGTGTTAAGACTTGTGCACAGGAAAGTAAGTGAAATGCAGCAAACAGTGCATTATGAATCGTGACTCGTGTGTATAAAGTGGCAGTACGATAAGGCTGTATTACAGCTGTTATAACATATCTAGCCTAAATATTCCAAAATAGTTCCCGCCTGAGTGAATAGCGGATGCGACACAAGTTCGCATACAATATTAATCTAAATATGCAGTTAATTACGTGTCTTGTTTGTATGGTATTAAATTAAACAAAGTAGCAATAGTATGCAACTGGAGATAATAGGGTAGCACGTACGTAACCTTGAGTAGGTGCGAATGCATAGCGTACTAATACAATACAAATTGTGACTCATGTTGGACAGCAGAAGAGCAAGATAAAGTTGTATATTAATAATATAGCAGTAAATTCATGTAATATAGCAGTAAATTCAAGAACGTTATATTAGATATATAAACAATATGGAACGAACTCACTCCGTTTGAGGTCACAGAACGTGGATTGCAGCGGCAACATTCTGGTTCTGGAACACTGCATGCATGGGATCTTGTGCGTCTCAGGGAAACTGCGTCGACCTTGGACTTTTGCCATTACTTTTGCCATTTGTTCCAAGATTGGTCTGTTTTTTTAAATTTCCACTTCTTTGCCAAGGTTTGGTCCCTTAAATTATTAGCCAAAAATTTTGCCAGAGATGTTAACGCACTGGCTAAAGTCTTGCGAATGAGCAGTGCACATCGACATTGCGATCAAAAGTCCTTGCGCAAAGAGGGGGCCATTGTACGTATGCACGTGAAGGAAAAAACCTTCAGGTTAATTTCCGATTGGTTAATCCCAAGTTTGCATCAGTTGTTCACATGCTTAGCAGCCAAAGTTCGATATTTATCAGATATTTTGTAATATTAACAGGGCTAGAAAACGGGTCCCTTGTTCTGCCAAGGTACTTGGACCTTGTATGTACCTGGTACGGATTAATTGTTGTGACGCAGATGCGTTGGCAGACTGAAAACACCCTCGGGCAAATAGAGCCTTCAGAACATATTACTCCATTAACCGTAATTTATAGCTTTGCTTAAATTGATTATATATCGGTACTTGATTGAAAGACCATCATGCATAACATAAATTTATATATTGCGTAGATTCTCAAAGATTTACTCAATATTCATGTCTGAAATGTTTATACATTTGAAAAACAACACTGTCGCTCCTTCCTAGCATCGTGATCTACGGCTTCATAGCGCATGCGCATTTACACTGCTATAGAAAAAATCGGGTGTTCCGGGGGAAAGATCCTTTACACAACATGAGAGGCGAATGTTTTAAAATTACAAAAATTTACAATAACGACAACGATTCCTCGAAATTTTTGTGGACTTGGCAAAAGAACAAAAGAATATTTAAAGAAAATAAATAAAATTGCTTAAATAACCTTCAAAGCACTAAGTACAATAAATCACTGCGAACATAAACGTATACCCCGGAAAGTTTACTCTATGACTGACTGACTGTTTGACTGACTGACTCGTGTGAATTCGCCAGCCATCACAACAGTGTGAAGTGAAACTTCACACTAAAAATGTGTGGATAAAGCAGAAAAATATAATCACATTTTATGATAAAAAGTAGGAAAAAAAAGGATGGCATCTCTATTCCTTACAATTTGTACAATTAGGTTTCATAATTCAGTAATGCTTCCAGTGTTTCCATCCATATTAATTAATATTTAAGTAGAATAGTTTCCAACAGAACTGCGAGTTTGAAAAGTTTCAGCCACATTTTCAAGTCTTTCAATTACCATGAATGCACATGCTATATATCAATAGTCAATACCATATACAAGATAGCTAGAGCAAATACCGAACATAAAGTACAGTTAATTCTTTGAACCAAGGGAAAATTTTCATTTTTTTAAAAGGAGGGTGGAAAAATTTGAAGAGGCACCACTGAGCAAGCTTCAGCAGGGGTTACGTGTTGGTGTTAAAGAGTTTCACACAAAATAGGAGGGGTGAAGCAAAATTTTGGTAGGGTTGAACACTTAATAAGAGGGGTTAAAGAGATTCTGGTGGGGGGTTAAAGAGATTCTGGGGGGGGTTAACCGCCTCCCCAGTAAATCTGCCCATGGAAAAGATTTTGTGATTCTGTACTTTATGCCCTCTAATAACAATATGTACTGTAAGGTAGAGCACATAGCAAATTCAACAATAAAGAGTCAATCACTGTATATTTATAAGAAAAAACATACTTATTTTTTCTTTCTCTTCTGCACTGGCTCATCACTCACAGCAAACCACTTTTTCTTTTCATATCTGCCACCAACATTTCCTCGTACAACTGGAGCAATGTCTCGCTGCGCTGCAATGGTGAGATCATTGTAGCCAAATTCATAGGCACTAGGATTATCTGCTCGTTGTCCTTTGGAACGCTGGTGTCCAAAGTAATCCTCCAGTACATCCTGCATAAACCTTTCACTCAGGACATACTGGAACCCATTTTCCAGAAGAAACTTGATGGCCTCAACATGGGAAAAGACAGAAATCTTCAGACCTTTGTACGTTTGCATGGATAAGAACATCTTTCCTCTTGCATCATCAGAGAAGTCTCCTTCCCTTTCATGAGTGGATGCCTTCCAACTCTCCAGGTACTGAAGAAAAACATCAACCAACCATCCAAACCGATCATCATCAGCAGAAGTGTAGGGCTTGATGAATTCATTTATTTTTTGACATGCTCAGTAAGAGATCTTACATTGGTGCAATCAAAAAAATCGTTCATCATTCGACAAAATTGTGCAGTCTCCAAAACATCACTGTTTCCGCTTTCCTCCAATGCTATTGCAACCGACCGACTGAGAACCTGAGTTGCCAATCTCACCTTCATCTTGCTGTAACTCGTTAGCGTAATGTGATTCAATGTCAATTTTGGAAGCACATGGAGCTCAACTGCTTGATCCTGATAAAAAAGATCTGCTATGTGATTAAATAGAAGATATTTGCCATTGTTCCACATGTATCGACTGTGTGACCCTGATCCTGAATTATACAAGCAGTTTTGAGCTGTCTTCAGTAAATGTGGAGAATCTGCGAAGTAGACAAAACGTGATGGTGCAAAAAGATTTAAAGTCTTATATACAACATCACATTCATCTTCCCAGCCAACATGCTATGGAGATTAAATAATTTGCGATTTGGTGAAGCACCATCATTGACCAGACCAATCACCCAAAGATCCAGTGACAGCTCCAATGTTCACACAACTTTCCAGAAAATGGGCATTAGCTGGTATGAAGTGACATTCCCTGTAAAGTAATAGGCAATGATATGTTTCATATCAGTGGCTAAACCTCTAACAAGAAATGCCATGCATGAGTGGCAACGCTATCTTCCTTATCCAGACATGCATAATTTGTCATAGGATCACCAAGATCAATAAACCCGATCAGATCACCAGAATGCTTGTCATATACAAGATTTGATTGGATCTTCATCTCATCCATGACCAGAACGACGTATCGTTGAATTCCGCTAAATGATTTCACCTTGTTTTGCAAAGATTCTACATTTTCTGCGTTTACCCCTGCTTTTGGAGAGAAATAATTTTTATAATCTCTCGAAACTCTTTCACTGGGTAATACCAAGGCACCGCTTTCTCTGAGCTCTCTATAGGCAGATGGTGATTTGGGATGAAGCAAACCGAATAATTTGTGGGTGATATCTTCGTCCACAACTAGAAGATTGCAAAAGCTTCATCTGCTCTTGCCAGAAGAATTTCATGTGTGGAGTACTATCTAGATTTTGTCCATCCATTATCTTCAGAATGTCCTCCTCCAAAGTCTTATCAATGGATACGCCTTGACTGGTAATCTTCTTTTGGAGCTCTTGCAGTTCTCCTTCAAGTTATTTGCACTTTGACCTTGCAGCGACGAGAGTTGCTCGTAACTTGTCAGGTCCACATGCTGAAAGAGGAGCCTTACTCTTTGCTGGGGATGTTTTAGCTCTCTTTTTGTTTGTCTTCTTTAGTTGTTTGGTGATAATTGAGCATGGATCACAGACTTCAGAACGTTCTATGATGACATCACAGTTAGGTGAACGAAAGAAAACAGTTGCTTCAAATTGCTTTGGTGATGGTTTTTTCGGAACAGAGTGGCGAATAACTGTTCGAGGAATAGCAATGGTTATGTTAGTGTTCGGATCAATAGCAGCATTTTTTGTTTGATGATCTTCAGGCACACCTTCACATAGCTTGCTTTTCTCTATTGTTGACAACACCTCTCGAAACTGTTCACCACTTTTGATAGATCGTTTATATTCGTTGTAGATATTGTGGTCATCAAGTATTGGCCAATTAAAAGCATATGCCGTAAACTCCATTGAACAAGAATCCATAACAACTGTATATTTGGCAACTCCATGGACATTGTCAGTCAGAAAAAAATTGACATTGCCATCATCACACACTTCACTTTTCCATTCCAATAAAGTATCATTGTCAAGTTGATTAATTAAATCATCTGAACACAATCCTGGCTCTAAATACGAATGGGAGGAAGATGGTATATCCTCTTGTAGCTCTTGTCTTGGTGCCTTCTTCTCAATAACTCGGCGTGGTGTCTTCTTGGTCTCATGGGATCTTAAGGGCAGGTTCTCTGTGGGGATACTGCCAGTTTGAAGGATTTTTCTTGAGTTTGGCTCATCAGGATCTGCAAATGGTTATAATTAGCACACAAGTAGTTGTGTTCTCTATAGAAATGTTACACTTATTAAATATAAGTGCATAAATTCCATACATTGTAATGCATAATAGAACTTCAAAACTGATAGAGTCGATATTTCAAAATAGCACAAAATCTGCTAGTGTCAAGCTAGTGAATCAAAAGAATCTTAATCCAAGTTGCTTTCACCATACGGTATTAAAATATAAAGTGTTAACAGTCATACATGACTACAACACATATAAAACAGCTACATGTACTTGCCACTTCATATATAGTAAAAAACACATGAACTTTATATACTTCAAAAATGGTGCAGATAAAATATTAGATATCCAACTGGGCAGTAAATACAAACGACGTATGGAATTACAGCATGAAGCCTGACAGGGTGTCAAACACACAAATATCAGTATATCACTAACAATCCTTATAAAACTCAGTTGAGATTATATTTTGTGGGTACGTTTATAGTCTAAAACCGTGGTTGTTTTCATGTATAAAAATATGCATACAGTGGAAAAAAGATGCAGAAAGCTATTATAAACATTAAAACATATATAACAACTTGATGGTTTCAGATGGCTTCGGCTCCATATTAAAAAAGCGGCCAAGGTTGTATGAATCTCGACAGCCTAAAAGATAAAAATATAGCCGCTTCTCAACATTTCGAGCAAAGGACGAAAGTTTTCTTGAAACGGAGAGATTCGAGAAGCCATATTTTTATCTTTCAGGCTGTCAACAAGACAACATTTGCATCCATTTGCATCCAACATTTGCAGACTAAGCAAAATTTACATATTAATTATCATAACAATTATACAAGCGCAAGTTATGCAACAAACATACCTTTTAAAATGCAATCGGCTTTAAAATGGAGTTCGCAAACATATATATTATTCTTGTTTATCCGTTCCTTCAGTTCTGAAGTCCTCTCTCTTGTCCTGAGAATAATATTGAGCCATTTTTCTCAGGTTTTTTTCTTTAGCGACGCAGTGTGTTCGCTTTGCTTGGCATTCACTTTGTTTGGCGTTCACAACAGGAATTTGAAATAACGATAATTTGTGCTTTTGGCTGGTCGGACAACCAAAAAATGCACAATTTCTACCGGGCATGGTGAAAACTTACATCTCGAATTATAAAAACAGCACAAAAATTAAAGACAGCCTTTGAAAACGATGTTTCTCGATGAGATTTTTGCTTTACACTATTAAGGATTTGTAATTTGATGCACACTATCAGTCATGTGACCCTCCAAACATGGGATCAAAAAGATATGCCGAAACTCCGCCCACTATCCAAACCATCTCATTCTATTAACTGTGCCTGCATATACTGATGAAGATAATCCACAGGATACTAAAATTTGGTTTTGGATACCAAACGTTATTTGCAACTAGTATTCAGAATTGGATACTGGATTTTCAGGGGGGTACTAAACTTTGAATCAAGGCACCATTTGAATACTGAGAAAAAAATTGAATTTCAAACCCTTATTGCTACCATTTCAGAAACTGACTTCATACAAGTGAAACACAGTTTGGATGTTTGGCACAAGGCAAAGTCTATAAAGAAGTGCCTGGATAAGGTTAGTTCTCAAGTTATGGAAACAAATTGTTCTGATAACCTATTAAGCTGCAGAGCTTCCCCATTAACAAGTAAAATCGTTTGGCATTAGACAAGTAAAATAATTAGGGCACACTGGGGTGCATTGCGGCTCAATGGGTTAGCTAGAGACATTGTATGATTTTTTGGTTAACCCATTATTAAGCTGCAGAGCTTCCCCCATTGATGAGTAAAATCGTCTGGCATTAGACAAGTAAAAAAGTAGGGAGCACTGTGGCTCAATGGGTTAATTAAAGTCATTGTACTGGTATTAATGAACTTGTGTTTGTCTTGTTCACAATTTTTATCTTGATTGTCTTTCACATGCTAAAAAATATTTTATTTAATTTTAGCTTGGCAAACCAAAGGCAATGAAGAAGATAAAAGATTTGTCAAGTCATATAGTTTGTCACTTTTGGTACTGTGCAAGTGAATACAAAGCAGATGAATCCACATCAGATGCCGATGCATTAAAACTGATGAAGGTTAGTTTTTTGATCATCATTTGATCAAAATTCTTCATGCAGGCAAACTACAACTGATCCCTTTTTATTTAAAACCTACAGGACATGTGGATAGGATTATTACACCATGTATGCAATACCCATGAATGGCTTGGTGGTAAATGCAAGCATCCCAAAGGAGACCATGATGAAAACCTTCCTTGGTTTGACAGGTGCGAAAATGACTACATTGAGCTGCAGAAGGTCATCTTAAATCCAGAACTGCTGGACAGCTTCAGATATTATACAAGATTTAGGTATGGACCCATTCTAGAATATATAAAAAAAATATTTGCTTACCTCAAAAAACCAATACAGTCATGTGTAAAGCATTGTCAGCTCAATGAGATCACCACCCTGAGAATTCTTAACAGACAAAACAAACTGAATAGTGGTTTTTAGGGTGTGCAACATATCTATTCACTTTATCTGTTTTGCATTACTGCACCTATTACTGGATTACTGCACCTATTGTGTTTCAATTCACTGACCAAAACCTACACATATATAATATTTATAAGTAGAAGTTATAAATTTAGGTCCCTTTTTTTATTTGACAGACACACTGGAGAAATAGAATGTGTCAATAGCCTCAGCCTGGTATATACACCAAAGAGAGTGCCATTCAGGTGAGGATAACGATTGCTTTTATGCAATGTATCACATATATACTCAAAGGTTCATTACTGAAGTTATAGAGTGTACAAAGCCCGGAAGCAATTAGCAACAATAGATTGGAATTTTCACATCAATCTTCCGAATGCCAAAAGTAAATCCGGTGTTGAGATGATTACTAGAAGGTACAAGTGGGATGTAAAAAAGGTCAAAGTCGATAAAGGATATGATTACATTCCAATTATGATGTCAAAGATCATTAACATGAGATTGCATGACACAGAGATTGTAACCTGCCATGTCTCCTTCAATGTTAGTGACCCAGGAAACATTGCTCCCACTATTACCCACACACCAGCACAAGCAACAAAGGATATACCGCAAAGAAAAGTAGATTTTGATAACACTAACTGGTATATTTGCACATTCATATTTTTGCACCAATATATTCCCACATTCTATTTTTAAATTATTATAATGCTATATACAAAGTCAAATGAAATAAAGTAACCTCTTTCTATGTACAGTATTGTGAAGTAATGAAAATTGGATGTCAAATGTTTTATATTATCCGAGTTTATTCATCGTTCTCTATATCCATATAAATTCCAGTCACAGATGAATAACGCTGTCTTATTTTGAAGACTACACATGACGGGCAAACTCGGCGGTTCCCTTTCCCCAAATATCCATGTCAGGTCAAAATGAACTGTCTGTAAGCAGCTTTACGAAAAGCCCTTGTGCTGTTGTCTTCTCGATCATTTCTAATATCGCTTGTGTTTCTAATGCACAGTTCAAGCACATCAGGGTCCAGGCCATATCTTTGAAAATCGTGATGACAAGGTTATGCATTTTTTCAAATTGCAGCATTTGTTCTCAATATCTTGAGGCATAGGCCTGCAATTAAAACACACACACCACGGAGGAATTTCACCTTCTACTGTCGAGTGAGCCTGACTTTCCTCACCTATACCTTCTTCAGCAAGGCCCTCTTGTTGTTCTCTTTCTTCGCCACCTTCTTGGTTATCCAAAGCATCTGGGTTTTCATCCAGGTCATCCTCTGCATCAGGAGGGTATGGATGCAATTCATACTCCCTATCCCTCTTCTCCTAATTGCAAGTTTTTTGACAGTGTCCTCATCAAGTGTATGAACAAATACCTGTGAATTTGACGAATGTTTTTATATTTCAAATAATGAGCAATCGAACATTACTACAGGATTGTTTTGTGTATTTCCTCAAACTGTGCTCTGAATGCTAGGTATGTGAAAATAGTATAAACATGACCCTAAAAATTGAAATACTTTATAACGTTAGAAATTGTATTATGTGATGATTTGCTATTTATTGAAAGAAATACAAACTAATCTCATAATACAATGTCTAACATTACAGTGTGTCCATTTTTTGAGAATCATTGACCCGGGAATTATCAAATCAAGGGGAGTTATAGACAATTAGCACTTCAATGACAGCATTTATAACATTCAAACAAAAGCATACTGTCTTACATAACTTGAGAATGTATTCTTGGGTTTCACTATGGCATTTTGCAGTGAATCTGACGGGGGGTCAACCTAAAATGTATGTTGTGAAATTGCATGAGAACAATTAATTCACTCTGATGACTGTGTCTTCATTTAGAGTGAACCCCGTCAGATTTATGACATATGAAACCCAAGAATTAACCTATATTATATATTGTTACTGGCAGTGCCACCAATTACCAATAAGTAATGATTTTTTCTGTGTTGGTGTAATGTACTCAGGTGAATATGATGCTTGTGATGCTACTCTGACTGTATATCCATACCGGGCAAGCTTGAAAAATATGCCTGACCACGGTGGGAATCGAACCTATGACCAAAAGATTATCTAGTTTGGGAGTGGTGGGAATCATAGGTGTGGATATACACTCAAGAGTAACATCACAAGCATCATATTCACCTGAGTACATTACACCAACACAGAAAAAATCATTACTGATTATTAGATTACATTGATATTGAAGGAACTAGATTCTGTTCCGAAATATCACATACTCTAACCGATCTGACCGCGTAGCTCAGTTGGCAAAGCATTGGGCTAGTATTCCAAAGGTCGTAGGTTCGATTCCCACCGTGGTCAAGCATATTTTTCAAGCTTACCCGGTGTGGATATACTCTAAGAGTAACATCACTCTTAGTATGATATAAGGTTCACAATAGACATTGGCAAATAGTTTTGTGGACCATTTACTGGCAGTATGCATACTAGGCCACCAATGATGAGTAAAATCATATGGAGTTTATATACAGAGTAAAATTTATATAGCTGTTATACAAAACAGCATATCATATTTCACACTTCACAGCTCTAGAGTAAAATTGCACATGATGCTGATGCGAATGTATTATTATGTATGTTCCAACATTTCAGCCAATTCATGTAATACAAAACATGTTGTTCTTAATATCGTTTGATGTTTGAATCAGTTACTAGAAATATACAAACCTTTACATCATTGTTTTCTTTCTCTCTCGGTTTCTCTTAAGTATTTGCATTGACGGTCTCCCGCTGTGTCAAGCCACGGAATCCCTTCGAACAACGTGGCGATCTATCTCGGCGTGTTCCATCTTCGCCAATGTTTTCCTGCAATAAAGTAAAAATATATCACTATACATGTTAAGTATATTACATACAAATGCAAGATAAATTAGTACATTTGTTTCATATTATTAAACATATACCCTATTCTTGCAAGGTGTTTTGTGAGTCCCACACTTGCAATTGTCAGAACACAAGACGTTCTTTGTCTTACACGGGCAACCTTGATTGGAATTTTCTTTCCTTTTCGTGGCACATGAACTTTTGCAACTGCAATTTATGTTAACATGTTTCAAATACAACAATGTTTAGTTTTCCTGCTATTTATAATTTAAATATATGCACATTTTTAATCATATTTACCTCACTTGTTGATGCCTCCATGACTTCGTATGATATGAATCCGAGTGTTTCCGATGCATTCCGAAGATATAATGTTTTGCGCAGAACAGATGCTAAGCGGGTGGCACTGCTGCTTTAATGGCACACATGCATATACCAAGTTTTTAAGTGTATGTGTAATCTTGTCTTGACATTATATGTGTCCAGACGAGCTTTTCGAATTGAAAGTTTGGAAAAAGATCCTCCTGTTAAAATGGTGTCAAAGATTATGACATTGGGAAAATTTCTGAAGATGTTTTTCTTCCAGAGAGTGAGGTAAAATAATTGAAGCATGGCTAAAATAATTATACTGTATTTAAACTCAAAGCTAAAGCTTCCTGCCAGCTATAAAATGGATATTTGTAGAATCCAAAATATCTATGTTAATCTTCTGCCGCAACTCCAGGAACTGACGAGAGCGCTATCATTTCATGGGTTGAGTGTAAGCAGTGTGAGGAATGGTATCATTGGATTCGCCTTCCCCAGAGTTTTGGCATTGTCCATTATGTGTAATGGAAGATGCGATCTAGACGTGTGTAAAGAGACCATACTCTTTTGTTTGCGGTCCCATTTGAGCTTTCTAGTATTATCATTCCAGTTATAGAATTAAGATTATAACCCAAAAAGTTCCAAAGGAATATGTTCTAATGATTATATATTGTTGCCAAATCTGCCGACAACTTTTGAAGTTCATTTAATAATTGACCACATTGTGAACATTACAGTCATTGAAACTCAATATTATCCTTATATTGGAATTATAGTTATTTTTGAATAGAAAGTGCGACCATGCTAATAAGGGCGGGTGTAATTTGCAAAATGCGACTTCTGCACTTTCGCTCAAAAGCTGTCCGAAAGTGGTTAGGCTGGTTAGGTTCCTAACCTTGTAAAGACCAAGTGAAAGTCGTGTTCTGCAAATTACACCCGCCATGTTAATAACGGTATGGGTAGCACTGTATATTTTACAATGTAAATACAGTTGTAAAACCTTTTTAAAACGGTTTTTAATATTAAAGTTTTTGTTAGTTTGTTCACTGTAAACAGGGGCACAGGGATGGGAGTTTGACATACTTTGACTTCACTAGGTCACCCTGCACTGGGGAAATTGACAGACATTTTTAGCAAAATGTCAAATCCTGTGGGTAAGCTGAAAGGAATTGAGAAGTGGAAGGCATACCATAGCAATGAATTCGATGAAGAATACTCTCTAGTTTATCAAGATGGCCAGGAAGCTCTTTTTTGCAGAGTTTTTTACTGCAAAGAGATACAAGGATGAGAGCGGGAAAGATAATAAAATAATTACTTTGTATCTCTACAGTAATTATGATCTTAAGAAAAATGAAGACTTTGACCACGAATCCGAAGATGAGTTTTTAGAACCCGCAGAAAAGAAGTCTAAATCTCAAGTCGAGCAAGATGAAATTATTGCCAGAGAACTACAATCTTTACACTTGGTTTATAAAATTCGGGTTAAATTATAAGTTTTAAAAGCAAGTTTGAGGCTCATAAACTATAGAGCAAATGACGTCATCTAATACAAAATACCTATGTACTTGAACATGATATTTACATAATTGAATTAGATCCCAATGCACATGTCTCAACCTTTATGCCCTGAAAACATGATATTACTCACTTCTGGCAAAAGAAAACTATGTGTTTTAGATGTAACAACAAGAAAAATTCATGTGTTTCATGCGTATATTTTAGGATGTGACAAGTTCAAATAGGCATTGTATTGCTTGCTTTTCATGCAAACAAATATATATATTTATATAATTTAACAGCTTTGTTTGGCACGCATGCAAGCAGGCACACATTATTGTACATAACTAGCACAAACTAACACAAGAATAACAATAAGTAAAAACGTGCCAAAGATGGAGAAGCACAAACGAGACTAGGTCCCACGCATGGTGCTCACCATTAATTAATCAGGACAGTACAGACAAAACAACACATTAATATAGAATAGAAAAAGTACATGAGAAGAAGTAAAGAAATTAAAAGAGAGAAGAGAACAACTGATATAGAAGATATTATTCAGTCGTGATCACTGAGTGTGAGCTAGGTAAGTCAGGAGTGTAAGCAGTGGCAGTAAGTTGGAGGTAAGTCTTGTGGAGGTATGTTTTGAAGGAGGAGTGTCGAAGCTGTTCGAAGGAGCAGTTTTACATGCATAGTTCCACAGATTTACAATCCTAACAAAGTAGGAACCCTGGAATGTGCTAGTCTTACAAGCTTGTGATCTTAAAAGCTGAGAAGTTCCCGCACGTGTTCTGCTTGTCGTAGTTTCCACATAATGTTCCATGTCAAGATCTATCAAATTGTTCTTGCATTTATAATAAAAGATCAGATCTTTCTGTTCTCTATCGTACACAAGCGGGACTAGATTGAGTTTTTTTAACCGTTCCACATAAGAAAGTTCTCCACGTTTTTTCGTTAGGATCCACATTGTTGC